TATATATATATATATATATATATATATAATACATATAATTTGCGGCTAGCTCAGCGAATCGAGAACAATGGCTTCTAATTGACTGTAAATTACAATGGTCTACATTTAGATTAATAGTTTCGAAAAAACTATGATTAATTGATTCGATCACGATATTTCAGATCTTGATTTCTCCGCTTGGGACATCTGAAATTGCTAAACTTATATTTGTCGAAACTTTCAGTAGATTCTGTACGTGAGAAATATTCTTCTTTATAGTTATTAACACGTCTTGTTAACACGTCTACCACAACGGTGGTTACTGACGATTCATCTTTTCGTTCCTATAAATATTTTAGAACGATTGAAGCAAGATGAATAAAGGATAGACAACAAAATTTCAATCTTCAATCGATATCGAATACCACGTTTTAAATCACTTAATTTTGGAATTTTTCGTTTAATTGAATTTCATTGCTAATCTCTATTACGGAGGATGAAGAATTAAATACCCAGTCTGACATAAATTATAATTCTGTAAAAAAAACTATGAAAACTATGGCAATTGACTATGTTAACGACCTAAATAGCAACAAACGAGGCAATAAAATCATTCGTCATGGCATACAAGATTTCGAGATGATCTGTTTATCTGGTGGCGGGCGATCTTCTTTCGCAACGTCTGGAAAACACAATGACAGCGTAAAAACTGTGCCAGTGAATTTCATAATTGAGCGATTTGAAATCATTGTTCGCGTTAATTGCAGACGCTGGACGCGGATACTTGTTTCTTAGTAATCGCAGAGCTATTCATTTGCCGATCGAGGGTACGCGGAATTACGATGTACCTACATTGACACGCCGGCGGATCAGTCGGCTTCGATTGAATTTAATTGGCCAGGTCGCACGTTCGTTACGTCTAGGCTAACAGAGAATCGTCGAAACTGGCTCGTGTACAGCTTCGATACTGCGATCTCTGCGTTATCCTCGGTTTCCCGAAAATTTCGATGCATCGCGACAAAATTAGGGGGAATTCTCTCTCTTCGCTCCGCGGACTCGATGGGACGCGATTTAATCGAAAATATATTACTAGCGTGCGCGATGTCGAACACGTTAGAGCGATGATAATTAAATATTCCCAATCGGCAGGCGCGTACAGCAGGAAAAATGCTTATAAAACGAATCCGTAAAAGAAGCAGAGTAATATATAATATTCTGATTAATACAGGATAAGTCCGGATCATGTTTTTAAAAATCGATATATTTCACAAAATACTCAACACATTATGCTTAATGGGTTTCTAT